TGTTTACTGAGGACCAACAGTTTGCCTTGTGGATATATCACTGTGTTATATCTGGTGTTTACTGGCGACCAACAGTTTGCCTTGTGGATATATCACTGTGTTATATCTGGTGTTTACTGAGGACCAACAGTTTGCCTTGTGGATATATCACTGTGTTATATCTGGTGTTTACTGGCGACCAACGGTTTGCCTTGTGGATATATGACTGTGTTATATCTGGTGTTTACATGACGACCAACAGTTTGCCTTGTGGATATATCACTGTGTTATATCTGGTGTTTACTGAGGACCAACAGTTTGCCTTGTGGATATATGACTGTGTTATATCTGGTGTTTACTGACGACCAACAGTTTGCCTTGTGGATATATCACTGTGTTATATCTGGTGTTTGCTGAGGACCAACAGTTTGCCTTGTGGATATATGACTGTGTTATATCTGGTGTTTACTGACGACCAACAGTTTGCCTTGTGGATATATCACTGTGTTATATCTGGTGTTTACTGAGGACCAACAGTTTGCCTTGTGGATATATGACTGTGTTATATCTGGTGTTTACTGACGACCAACAGTTTGCCTTGTGGATATATCACTGTGTTATATCTGGTGTTTGCTGAGGACCAACAGTTTGCCTTGTGGATATATGACTGTGTTATATCTGGTGTTTACTGACGACCAACAGTTTGCCTTGTGGATATATCACTGTGTTATATCTGGTGTTTACTGAGGACCAACAGTTTGCCTTGTGGATATATCACTGTGTTATATCTGGTGTTTACTGAGGATCAACAGTTTGCCTTGTGGATACATCACTGTGTAATATCTGCTGTTTACTGGCGACCAACAGTTTGCCTTGTGGATATATGACTGTGTTATATCTGGTGTTTACTGAGGACCAACAGTTTGCCTTGTGGTTACATCACAGTGTAATATCTAGTGTTTACATGACGACCAACAGTTTGCCTTAGAGATATATGACTGTGGAATATCTAGTGTTTACTGACCGCCAACAGTTTGCCTTAGAGATATATCACTGTGGAACATCTAGTGTTTACTGGCGACCAACATATGCTCTACATATAGCTCGACGTACCCGGTATACAACCGCCAGGGAACGTGCCGTGGAGCTGTTTGCGACTACACGCCCCCGTCTCCTGGAGGGTATACTCCGTCATCTTCACAGTATGATAATATGTGAAATTGACTCAGGTGTCCACGGTGACATCTCAACTTCAACAGAACATATCTATAAACGCATTTAGAAAATATATCTATTTTCGTATTTTCAAATATCACATATTTTTTTATGTGCCTATCACAAGTGTATAATAACATATTATTATTTCATGCAAAGATGTGAGGTGAGGTGAAATTGGGCTTAACGTCGGGTCCAAGATTATTGCACTGATATAGCGACGTGCATGCACGTGTGTGTGTGTGTGTGGCTGCTTGTACTAGTCCGGACTGATGCCGATTTATAGTGCTAGCTCACTGAGATACCATGCCGCAGTTTAACATGAATACCCCACTCAGACACAGTATACTGACTCCGAGCCGACCAGTCCTTGTTTTAGCCCTTTAATGCCGAGCGCCAGACAGGGTAACAACAAGTACCATCTTTTAACGTCTTTTGGTATGACGTGGTCGGGGATCGAACCCCGGACCTTCCGATTTCCGGGCGGACGCTCTACCACTAGACCACGGAGGCGGTCTCATGCAAAGATATCTTTAAATCAATTTGTGAAAATGTCCGTGTAGAGGAAAACAACCTGCCTTATCCCAGAGCCGGATAACCTTGACATTCACATTGTATCCATTTGCCGTGACGTTTTCGTCAAAGGCCATTCTCTGGTTGGTGGCATCAAAGTGAAGTTTAATTTCAATCTGAAAGAAGAAGCTTATCTCACAAAATAGCAACACAAAAAGTATCAAAACTTGAACGGTCACTCAGGACTACGGGCAGTTTTCGTGGGTAATTAACATTATCCGTTTTTCACCGTGCCAATCACCTTGGCCTCCACGCCCTCCCACTGGCGAGGGATGCAGCAGATATTAGCGCCCAGAACGGCGGGAACGAGCACGATGGCAAGACTTACAAACATGTTGGCGATAACTAAGTTTGGAACTAGCGTGTATGGGTCATATATATACCCTACGTCTCTCCCACAATCAGCAATAAGGATTGCGAAATATATGCACCTCCTACGTTGCTAGCCAGGTCATGTGTTATTATAATTGGCCCTAAACTCAAGAACATGTATTAGTTTCTACTGATAGACATGTCATCCGCCATTTTCCTGGAGGTCATTTCTGAAGTATTTTGATCGTCACTATAACCCCATCTTCCCGAGGCAAGTGAGTTAACTGACTATAAAAGTCCAGTTTCCACCCTTGCCGAACTAGGCTGGTATTGTGGAGTTACAAATTTGGCTGGACTAACTAGTCTATGCATAGTCCAATCAAAATCGCGCACCGAAATCGAAATCCGGTCCGTAAAATGTCGTGCAGATTTCTGTCGATTGCAGGATTTGCAAAGCATGTGCACCGCCAACTCGTTGTCAACAGATATTTTCCAAGTCTTTTTATGTTTTTAATCAAGGTGCTCACGTGATTTGATGCTCTTCGCTATGAAAGATATAGATCTTGATGTCGATCAGATCGTCTTGACTGGGAGCCGCAATTTGGTTTGAAGCAAATGCAAGTGATACGAGAGGTGGAATCTGATTGGTCCATATGAGAGGCTTAGAAGGGACATAACTCGTAATAACCACTGGTGGCGCTACGGTCGAGCCCAGAAATTCCAACCTAGTTGGGCAAGGGTGGAAACTGGACTTTTAAGTCAGTTAACTCCCTTGCCTCGGGAAGATGCTATAACCCTGATGTCATGCATCTAACCAATAATGACGTCTTCTGACGATTATTTCTAGACCTGTGCGCATTTTCCCCATTTATATATATCCTACGATAAGCATTGAGAAGTCCACGAACTTGGAGAAACAGGTACTTTGCTAGCAAGGCCAGTCGGTAATGTGTATGACTTTTTAATGTATTTGTAAAACATAACTCACGGAAGAATGAAATACTGAATTCCTGAAGTCCATCAGGGTAAGTTTTGGGGTCAGTATGTTCTCGGTACAGTCTGTGCCTGTATGTTGTATGAAGAATTTCTGGTGAAAAATACTGCTTCGGGAAAACATATGCTGTGTCACACCACTCGAGGAGATAAGGATGTTTTTAACAAGATCAACCAAAAGTTTCAGGAATTTTCCTGAAGCAGAGAATGAGTATCAAAAGCAGTTAGTAGCTGCGACATACACGTACGTAGTGTCAATCGTACGTAGTGTCAGTCTCATAGTCAGGAGATATCTCATATGTGATGGATTCTTGATGATGGATTTGTGGGTGGTGTTGAAACCACTTCAGCATATGGACGCTGGTTTGGATGATGATTTGGGTGGGTGGAGGCTGAGATGGAGTTGATAGAGGGGAATGGTGGGACATGGAAATCATCACTGACAGGTTCTATGATCTGTGGTGGATATGGAATGCGAGAATTTGTATTAGCGTTACCTGATCTTCAATCACATATTCTTGCAGCATGAGAGACCGGTTGATGTCCTAAAGCCATTGCAGAGCATGATGATCAGTGAAGACTTTAAACTTTTGAGATGTGAGATACACCCTGAAGGTTCTAATGCCTTCTAATACAGCCAACCATTCTACCTGAGTGATGCCCCATTATCCTGTTTAATTGGCTTCATGTCCCATTGGCTTCCACCTATGTGTTCTCTGTCCATCATGGGGTGATGATGGGGCCATGATGGATGCTGTGGGTACTATTCGTTGACAATGAAGTAGGACAGGTTTATCACTCGGTTTGCGAGACCGCGTTCATGATCTACCTTTGGCGCTTTGGAGGAGACATTAGGCTCCTTGAAGTTGGAGTGCCCCAAGGCCAGGTGTGATTGACATGGTGTGACTTGAGAAAGTCTAAACCAAGAATGATGGTATGATGTAATGATGTGAAGTCATGAAAATCTTGTGAATAGGAAGCATGGCTGATGTTAAGTTATAGAGTGACCAACTAAGCAGAGATACAGCCCATTCCCTTAAGTAAACTAGAATTGAAAAGCACAATCAAAGCCTCCATAGCCCAAAGATGGCAATCCCAGTGGGACGCAAGTAAGATCCACCAAAAGCAATACTCATACTCAAATGAAAGGAAACATGTAATTGCCATCTCACGCCTCAGACTCGGTTATAAAAAGCACTATGACAAGGTTTGTCCATCTTGCAATCAACCTGAATCCAATGCTCAATAGCTACTAAAATGTCAAGACCATGCCCCAGCCTGGGATCGGTTAAAATAAGAATCGCAGTTAGATCCGCAATCTGTTGTAGATCTCCTAAAGCCAAGAGATGCAATAGCGAAGGCCAAACTAACTCTATTTCTGAGATATGGACAGCTACTCGAACGTATATAAACTGAGCAGCCAGAGATAAAAATGAAATTATATCAATAGAATATTCCTTGAATACCAAACTCGCAATAGATATGTGTACCCTGCACACATTCATGAGTCCAAAAGAGGGACAGGTCAGCTGAAATTGCTCAGGCAGAAGGCGACCTCTTAAACACTTTTAAAAGCAACAACATCATCAGTCAGGGAGATGTGCTCAAATCATTGTCAGAAGCAGACGGATTGTACGGCTGATCGTGGCTCCAGCTATGACCGCCGCCTCACCAACGACCACGTCGACGATGAAGTATCACCGTCCGACTTCCTGCCTATGTGCAAGTGACAGAGCGGATCTCCACACCAGGAACATATTGGCCACTCGGTCCCGGTGTGCTTCTGTCACACGTTAACCATTGCCTGTACCATTTCAACCGATATTCCCTATCATAAAGGCCTCACCAAATTCATAAAATAATAAAACTCGGAAAATAATCTTTTATAGAATGTGAATCAATTGATAGAAGAAATCACCTAAGCATAATGGTAGTGTATCTGTACTTTATTTCTTCTGGAGTACATTTACGTTCAAAAATGGGTTTGTAGGTTGACATCAGTGTGGTTAAGTCTTTTCTCAGCCGAAGAATGATCCAGCGTGTCCAGCGGGGCTGCCCTGAAATATATAGAAATAATGGACTCAATGATGAGTCGAATGTATGGGGAAAATATTACATGAAGGGTCATGCCCGAGAAGAGATGATATTTAGCCAGATGCTTTGATTGTGCCCAGACGTTTTTTTCCAATATACTGTTTTAATGTGACGCCGTTGTTGCGGGCTGGTGGAACATTGAAATCCGAAGCATCTCTTATGTCATAGCTTATGTCATAATAACAGGTATAACTGAAATCCTATTTAAAGCACACAAACTCGCACAAGATCAATGTAATGTGCTGAACGTCATGATCAACACTCAGAAAGAAATTGGCAACGTTGACTACATTGATTAAACTTTGTTCGTAATTACCACGAATGGGGCGTTGTTGCATGCGGGGGGAACGTTGAAGACTGTAGCGTTTTTGATGCCGCCGCTGATGTCGTAGTAACGGTTTGAGATAAGGTAATAGTCTGAAACATAGGTTTAATTGTTACGAGTGGTTTCACATATATTATTTACAAGGACATTTATAATATCAGTTCCCTAGTACACGTCATATAAAGTTAATGTTTAAAAATATTCTCTTCAAAAAGAGTAGAGGACATTCGGAAATGACTTTAAATGTCCAAAAGAAGAAAAACAGAAGGATAAACTTCCAGATGTGTAAGAGATTTAGTTTCTAGTAAAAGTTGTATGCAAATAATGAACATGTTGGAAACACATTACAAACGCTAGTGAAGTATGGCACCAAAAATTCTGACCGCCAACTGAAACATTTCAGAATTGACGTTTTTGGATCAGTAGTGCGTTATATCGCCACGATTTGACAAACACTCATTCAATCGACGAGGCATACTGCATATAAGTCTCCCTAGGACGAACTGAGGAGTCTGCCCCACTCCTCTTGCAGCGCCTGACCATGTTCATCCAACGTGGTCGGCGGTCTGTGACGCTAACACACACGTGTTCCTATCACGTTCCAGACGTGTTCAATGGGGGAATGGTCTGGGCTCATTGCCGGCCGATATTGTACTGCTGGATATTGTGCTGCTGAAGGTGTGCATTGACGATTCATGCCAGTGAGCATGGGAGTTGTCGTCCTGAAAGACAAAATGTTGACCCACACGCCTTGCAAACGGGACAACGGGTTGTCCAGCCAGTATGTTGTACCGAGAGTACTGTCCAGTGACCCTTCCTTGCACAATAAGGAGTGGGGTTTGCTCAGTCATGTTGCTGCTTTCCCACACCATGACCGATCCACCGCCAAATCTGTAATGTGGTCTCAGGTTGACATTATCTTGACCCTCATTTCGACTTCGCCAGACACGACCAGTTCATCAGGGAAGTGCAAAGTGAAACTTGAGTCATCTCAAAACATCGGGCACGGGTGGCGCAGTGATTCGCTGTGCAGAGTGGCGTCCCTTGGGCACGCCAGAAACCTATGATTGTGGATTCGAATCCCGGTTCGCCCCGATTATGTTTCTAGGTTTGTCAGCACCATACCCGTGCTCGTGGGTTTCACCGAAGTGGTAAACGTCTAAGACCTTCATCACTTCGGTCTTTCTTCCCACATTAAGCTGACAAGCCGTGATATAACTGGAATGTTGTTAAAAGCGGCGTTAAACCCAACTCACTCACTCACTCATCTAAAAACATGACATGTGACCAGCGATGATTGTGTAACCACTGACGTCTGTTGGCAATATGACGTTTTATAAGAGGAGGAACAACAGGTGGCCGCTGAGCATGGAGACGTGCTGCATGTAGACGTTCTCTAATCCTCTGACCCGTAACTCGTACTCCAATAGCCTGATGAAAGTTTGCGGCACCTGGATTCCCTGTTGGAGCTCGATCTCGTAGATTTGATCATGCACTCTTGTCGTTGACATGGGGCGCCCTGGACGAGGTATATCGTCAACATTTTGCTTTTATGGGTACGTGTTGCATTGTCAGCTGATCAAAGACATTGAACGTATTGGCCACTGCTCGCTGACTTCTGCCAGTTTCCAGCAAACCAAGAGTCCTTAGAAGCTCCTCGTGTTGCAGACGCCACATCGCTAGTTAATACACAAACAGTGAATGAATTCCAGTAAACCACAACTGTATGAATAGCAGAATCAATACGATTGACAGAAATAATGGTTCACAGAGGTTCCTTCCGTGAAAGAGTCAAAATCAGGAATTACGCACGTGCGTGGCGCTACTGCGTGAGACATGTGCAAACTATAAGATGTGTTTTGGTGTTAAGTTTTACAGACATTAATGTTCTTGCAAAACATTTTGTCGTCAACAATTATCATTTTGTTTTTATATTTGGCATCAATATTTATTATTTATGCTCCCCTACTTTTAAAGAGTATAGTCCCGCAGAAGATATTTGAAGTTGTGACCTTACCAGGGTAGCCGTACCGCTGCAACATTACTCTACTAGGGTACCTTTGAAACGCTTTCCTACCAGGGTACCTGCACCGCTAAAACACGGCTCTGCTAGGGTACCTTTGCAACACTATCCTACCAGGGTACCCGCACCGCTAAAACACGGCTCTGCTAGGGTACCTTTGCAACGCTATCCTACCAGGGTACCCGCACCGCTAAAACACGGCTCTGCTAGGGTACCTTTGCAACACTTTCCTACCAGGGTACCTGCACCGCTAAAACACGGCACTGCTAGGGTACCTTTGCAACACTATCCTACCAGGGTACCCGCACCGCTAAAACACGGCTCTGCTAGGGTACCTTTGCAACGCTATCCTACCAGGGTAACCGGAATTTTACAATATTGTCCTTCACCCTTACACCCCATAATCGTTTCCCATACTTCAATTACGAGTTATACATTACTATAGGAATTATATGACCATTTGGCGTAAATACAATTTCTCCCGGATGATAACTTTTGTTTCCTCCACACTTGTTAAGCCATCCCAATATTACCATGTGCCCAAAAAAATCCAACGGTCAAATTGACAATATAATAATAATAAAAAGAAGCTAAACATCTGGCCATAACTGCCCCTCCCCAACCGCAACCCTAAATAATTCTCCAATATTTCTGCATTATAATTCTCTCATCATTTCTCACCATAATTCCTCTCTATCACGTGACCATAAGTGGTTTTTTACTGACTTACTATAAAATGATAGGAAGTACTTTATGTTTTAATATAATCTTGTGTGCATGTTAACTGTGACATATATTCGTTTGTTACCATTTCCAGTTTTTCCGTACGTCTCCTGTCTGATTGGCTCACACGTGTCTGACGTCATGTCCACAATGGCGGTAACGCCTTTGGCAGTGTCGACGATGCGGTAGGAGTTGTAGGTGACCTTGTTTTTAACAGAGCCCTCGAAATGCGACCCAATCAAGGTAGCGGTGTCTGTGAACATAACAAGCCGACTATGACTCCCAATCGTTGAAGACATAGCCATGATACAAGAGACTAGGTGGGAACAGTGTGACGATGGGTCTTATCCACAGTTCTTGTGAGCCCTAAAATGGTTCATTAGTGAGTGAGTGTGGTTTTACGCCGCTTTTAGCAATATTCCAGCGATATCACGACGGGAACACAAGAGTGAGTGAGTGAGTATGGTTTTACGCCGCGTTTAGCAATATTCCAGCAATATCACGGCGGGGGGACACCAGAAATGGGCTTCACACATTGTGCCCATGTCGGGAATCGAACCCGGGTCTTCGGCATGACGAGCGAACGCTTTAACCACTAGGCTACCCGACCGCCCCTGGAACACCAGAAACTGGCTTCACACATTGTACACATATAAGGAATCGAACCCGAGTTTTCCGCGTGACGAGCGAACGCTTTAACTACTAAGCTACCCCACTACCCTTAATGTTCTGTTCATTACGATAACAGCAACTATTGATCAAATGTTTTTTTCCAGTTTTTGGATGTACACATTGACATGCTTCTCTTGACTTTTTAATTACGTGAAACTGTCCGTGTTGTACGTTTCTTAAACTCACACAAAAATTTAAAAAAAGTAAAATAGACATAATAGTCACCTGATGGTGGAGAAATGGACATACCTCGTCATAAAATTCATCTATCTAATGAAAGCAAACAGATACAAGACGACTGGCCTGCTGACCTTAAAACATCCGTCTGCTGGTTGTGACGTCACTTGCATGTCACGTCACAATTGTTCGTATTTCACTGTCTGGTACATGATGGTAAGTGATCCCATGACGACCATCTGTTTGCCTTGTGGATACATCACTGTGTAATATCTGGTGTTTACTGACGACCATCTGTTTGCCTTGTTGATACTTCACTGTGTAATATCTGGTGTTTACTGGCGACCATCAGTTTGCATTATGGATACTTCACTGTGTAATATCTGGTATTTACTGACGACCATCTGTTTGCATTATGGATACTTCACTGTGTAATATCTGGTATTTACTGATGACCATCTGTTTGCCTTGTTGATACTTCACTGTGTAATATCTGGTGTTTACTGGCGACCATCAGTTTGCATTATGGATACTTCACTGTGTAATATCTGGTATTTACTGACGACCATCTGTTTGCCTTGTTGATACTTCACTGTGTAATATCTGGTGTTTACTGGCGACCATCAGTTTGCATTATGGATACTTCACTGTGTAATATCTGGTGTTTACTGGCGACCAACAGTTTGCCTTGTGGATACATCACTGTGTAATATCTGGTATTTACTGAGGACCAACGGTTTGCCTTGTGGATATATGACTGTGTAATATCTGGTATTTACTGGCGACCATCAGTTTGCATTATGGATACTTCACTGTGTAATATCTGGTGTTTACTGGCGACCATCAGTTTGCATTATGGATACTTCACTGTGTAATATCTGGTGTTTACTGGCGACCATCAGTTTGCATTATGGATACTTCACTGTGTAATATCTGGTGTTTTTTGGGGACCAAGATATGATCTACATGAAGATCAACTTACCCGGTATACAACCGCCAGGGAACGGGCCGCTGAGGTGTTTGCGAGTACACGTCCCTGTCTGCTGGATCACATACTCCGTCAGCTTCAAAGTATAATGATATAAGATATTGAGTCAGGTCGTGTCCACTGTAACTTCTCAACACAGTTGATTAGTTCACTCCAACAGAATATGTTTATATAGGCGTTTAGACAATACATCTTTGTACGCATTTACAAATAATAATAATAATAATATTATTATTATTATTTAACCTTTTATGTGTTTATCAATCTACAGCATTACATATTAAGGTGTCATGTAAAGATGTCTTTAAAAATTAATTTGTGAAAATGACTAGAGGAAAAGAACCCACCTTATCCCACAGCTGGATGACCTTGACATTGACAGTGTATCCATTTGCCGTGACCTTTTCGTCAAAGGCCAGTCTCTTGTTGGTGGCATCAAAGTGCACATTAATTTCTGTCTGAAAGAAGACAATTTTCTTACAAATAAAAGCAAAAATTTAAGTATCAGTATTACTTAAAGGGTAAAACTGGCTTTGCATTTTTTAGAAATATATATTGCTTGTTTTTGAAAACATTTAAGATATACCTGACGAGACTAAATCCAAAATATTAGCACATCATACAACAAATATCAACATATCATGTTGCTAAACCATACAACACTTATCAGCATATCATTCTGCTAAACCAATAGCCCAATATTCAGGTCGTAATTTACGTGAAATCGCACAGTACATTATGTCTCTAAATCGTTTCATTAATGTGCATGTTTTCTTGATGTAATTTCAATTACATACACTACAAAACTATAAAGACGAAGACGAAATATTCAGATCATTGGTAGTATATAGCTGACATTTGCATTTTGAAATTGCTGCGTTAATTTAAAAACTTGATGATTTGTTGGTGATGTTTCAAAAAGAATATAAACATATAATTCCCCAATGAGTGATATTTATAAAGCTGAAAGTTGTGGGCTAGAAATACACAGGGTACAATATATATTTATTAACATTTAATTAAGATTAAATTTAAGTTAAGATTTAATTTGTACCACTTTTGAAAAGATAATTTCAGCAAAAAATGAAACTTTAATTAAGTATAAAATGCATGAACTTTACGTGACATGTATGTTAATACATTACCACAGACATAATGACCCTGAACAGACACAAGATGTCAGTTCGAACACGTGGTCTAGTGGCATCTATGTTGTACACGTCCAGATTCTCAAAGACTTTCCAAATATGACATAAATAAATAATACAAATCGTAAATAACATTGGAAATTTTTTTATTTTGATATTCATGATAAAAGTGTACGAATCGCCGAAAACTGGTGTGCATCAGATGCTCTCATACAGCTTGTGTATACAAGCGAAGCAAGGGTTGTGGCACATTATACCAGCTGTATGGTTACATCCTTAAATATCCCTTCAAAAATAACTTTGACCAACTAGAACTCTCACAACTCAATAGACAACATTCCTCGTGATGCTTTATGTAACACACCTTCTATTTTGACGGTGGGCGGTCGGGTAGCCTAGTGGTTAAAGCGTTCGCTCGTCACACCGAAGACCCGGGTTCGATTCCCGACATGGGTACAATGTGTGAAGCCCATTTCTGGTGTCCCCCGCCGTGATATTGCTGGAATATTGCTAAAAGCGGCGTAAAAACATACTCACTCACTCACTCTATTTTGACGGTAAATATGTCAGCAGAACATTATTACCACTCAAAGGCGTGTATCTATACACGTCTTTGCACCACTGTAACGTCAAGTTTACGTATATTGTAAACACATTTCCAACGATGATTATCTCGACATTGCCGTGCAGCTGACACAGATAATTGTTTAAAATAGCAGATATATGTTCGAACTTGACAACAACCTGATTGGATTGGCTCTGGTTGGCAGACATATTATCCTGCACAATTTTATTTTGTGGAACATTGCATTAGGGACAACGGAAATGTACGTGACCATGGACACATCATGAGCCAATGTCAATTCCAAGCGTAACGCAGTTTTTGTAATCATTAACGTTAGCGCATAAAGCTCCTATTATCAATACAACTGCTTCAAGTAATTTACCCAAAGTGAGTCAAATATAAGCGACAGCAATTGTTACACTTTAACTGAGAACTTTCATGGATGGAGTAACGTAAGAAAATGTAAATACCTCTGATATTAGTGGCGTTCCTCCGTTTTTCACCGTGCCAATCACCTGGGCCTCCACGCCCTCCCACTGGCGAGGGGTACAGCAGATATTAGCGCCCAGAACAGCGGGAACGAGCACAACAGCAAGACTCACAAACAACATGATGGCGATGACTTACTTTGGAGCTGGCGTACATGGGTCGCATTAAATATACCCTACGTGTCGACCCCAATCAGTGATAAGGATTGTGAAATATGTGAACTTGCTACGTTGCTAGCCAGGTCATATGTTATTATAATTGACCCTTAGCTCAAGAACATGTGTTAGTTTCTATTGATAGACAAGTTGTCCGCTATCTTCTTAGAGTCTCATCTCTGGAGTATTTAGACCTTTCACAACAACCCTGATGTCATGCTTCTAACCAATAATGTTGTCTACTGACGACTGTTTCACAACCTGTATACACTGTCCTCCTTTATAACTGTTCTGTGATAAACTTTGTGAAATCCATGAACTTGGCGATACTGGTACGTTGCTAGCCAGGTCATTTAGTAACGTGTATGACGTTTCGAGTATTTCTGAAAAATGACTGAATGGAGGATTAAAAACGTAATTCCTAAATCCCACCATATTCAGTGTTGGGGTCAGACGGTGCAGTAGGGTCAGATTTTAGGGGTGGAGTTAACTCCTTACACCGTTCAGGCTGCGATGTTGTTTGAGAAATTTTATAATATTTGTTACAGTTCAAATAATGTCTCGGGAAAACACATGCTGTGTCACAGCACTCGAAGAGATACGCCATGTTATTTACAAGATTGACCAAAGATTACAGGAATTTTCTTAAAGAAGTGAATGACTACTAGAAATCAATAGTTGCGACATACGTGGTGTCAACTAAACGACTTTTTTTCTAACCGTTATTATGACATAATCTTTGACATAAGTGACGTATCTGGTTTCAGAATTCCTCCTGCCCATGGCGCTTTCACGATAATAACGGACACCGTTTATTTACTGTTGCCCCTCATGCACACTGTTGATTGACGCATAATCAGCCCAGTTGCACTACGTTGCGCCAGCTGAATAAGGAAATATATTACAACGCCAGAAACTAGTCTCAATTATCCAACGAAACAGATTCCACGGGACGTAAAAGCAAAATAGCTTTGAAAATTACATGTATGGATCACTGAAAATCAGCGACAACACCATGTGTCCGCGAACAGGGTAACATACCCTCCCTACCGTTAGCGCCTTCCGCTCACAAAACGTGTACAAAACACGCTTAAACGCCTCAGGCTGAAGACGTTTACCACTCTGTTGAGACCAAGGAGCACGGGTTTGTTACTGTTATAATCGTGGCGAATTTGGGATTCAAACCCACGTACATAGGATCATTGCACGACTGAGGGACGCAACGCTGCACAGCGAATTCCAGATTATTTACCACTTCACTGGATAGTGAGTGAGTGTGAGTGAGTTTGGTTTAACGCCGCTTTTAACATATCCCAGTTATATCGCGGTGTGTCAGCTTGATGTAGGAGGAAAGCCCGAAGTGATGCAGGTCTCAGACGTTTACCACTTCGGTGAAACCCATGAGCACGGGCATGGTGCTGACAAACCTAGAAACATAATCGGGGTGAACCGGGATTCGAACCCACAATCATAGGTTTCTGGCGTGCCCAAGGGACGCAACTCTGCACAGCGAATCGCGGTGCCTTAGACGACTGGGCCACCCGTGCCCCCCTTAACTTGATAGTTTATGGCCTCGACATGGAGGCCACACTCATCTAGAATCATGTAGAAATGGCCGGATGTGAATTATGTATTGTTTCCTGTATGTTGCGGACACATCATTAAACGACACATTGCCAAACGTAGGGACATATTTCGAACAAAAAGAAAATTGCTATTATTCACTGAATGATTTTGTTTTCGTGACTACTGAGTTATACACTGAGGTATCACTAACAGCGGCCATATTGAACTTCATTTTTGATGCTTTGAACAAATTTAAACCTACGCATGGCAACAAACATCCACGCACAATTTCAACTGGATCCATAAAGTCAATTCAGAAAAGTAGAAATGTAAAAGTTAATCGACTACTACGACGACCGGAAGTTTTGCGAGGACATACGCTAAATCGTTTTTATCATACGTATACGCTATGGTATTTAGAAACAGAAGCCTTAACAGATAAGACCTCAAATCATAATTAGCATAAAGGCCTCACCAAATTAATTATTTGTTTCTCGGAAAATACTCTTTTACAGAATTTAGACCAATTGACAGAAGACATTACCCACGTATAAAAGCACCATGGCCCTGCATGTGTACTTTCTTTGTTCTGAAGCACATTTACGTTTGAAAATGTGCTTTGGTTATAAGGATGACATCAGTATGATGATGTCATTCCTCAGCAGCAGTAAATGTTTAAATGTCAGGGCGTATGGTAGCCTAGTAGCGTTTGCTCGCCACGCCGAAGATCCGGGTTCGATTCCTCACATGGGTTAAATCTGTGGAACTCATCTGTGGTGTCTCCGGCAGTGTTATTGCTGTAATATGTAACGTGTGAAAACGTACTCACTCTCTCACACATCAATTCTGCTCGTAAAAATCTACTAATAGGATCGAGTGATCAGACTTGCTGACTTGATTGATGCATGTCATCGGATCTCAGTTGCCTAGATCGATGCTCATGTTATCAGTCACTGGGTTGTCTGGTCCAGATTTGATTATTTACAGACCGCCGTCATACAGCTTAGGTATTCCGGAACACGGGTATGCGGCTTCAAACAACAAACAAATGCAAAAATTGCATTGCTCCCTGCCCAGAAATAAATCCTTTACCAAACTATCAACCTCCAAACCCAAACACATTTTCAAACGTAAATGCACTTCAAAAGAAATAAGGTACATGTACACTACCATAGGAAATAAAGGTAATTCCCTTTTACAATTTGAGCACGTTCAACAGAGGAAGAAATGGCCTACTTGGTGTTGCCTTAATGCTAAATCGTATTTTGAGGCATTGTCTACGAACATAATTGTTTCCCAATGAAAAACTTTTTCGGGCTTCTACATTGATAGGAACAAATTGTTTTTATTGCCATGCAGGTCATCAAGTGTAACCTGATTTCGACCTGATTTCGACAAGGCCGTTATCTGAAACTCACCTCCAAATGAAACGCGAACCATGGAAACATGTAGAGAACTCAAGTATGTACGTTGATAAGATCTGTACCACTTGGTGACAAAACTAACAACCAAGTCAAGTGTTACCACAGTATCTTTATGCTGCACGGATTTTCCAGACTTCACATGCTAATCCCGCACGAGACAAATGGTGCATCATGGATCTATTACGTCACATTTGATACGTTCATAAGCGTCGATTCACACAACAAACCAGAAAGTTCGTTTGTGCGTCGAACCAATCTAATATCTCTTGAATATGAGTAATTCGTCACATATTAACCAACATGTATGACATTAGCGTTTCCTTTGTCGGTGAGTATATATGTTTTATCACGAACCGTAGGCGATATGATTGTTCCACTGCATACATGGGCGAGGCCCTATCAATTATGAATCAGTTCATTGAAGAAATTGTTAGTTATCCGACTTAAGATTATTATCTAGCAGCTTTAGACATTACATGGTTGATATAAGAAACGTACTAACGCCATGGATTCAACCTTGCGCTACGACGATCGTAACTCCGATACCATACCCTAGCTATAGACGACCGATAGTGAAAGTCAAAGAATATTTATTGCAAGAAGGCCTCTGGCCCATACGCAAATATACATTATGGTTACAATGGGGAGAACGTAAAGGTAGTATACAATATATACAATAGGCTTTCAACCATTGACACCGGGTGTTATACGCGTAATATAGAAACTGTGTTATCAAATGGTTTAATTCCTCCAAATTTGATAACAAGGGAACGATGCCTCACATTTAGGTAACATTCTCAGATCAGTTTCCCCAAGTGCCCAACAATATTTCAAATTTCAGGATCCACCAACAGTTTCATTATCCTGTACGAACACAATTTCATCCAAGTTGTTCTATTATAGGAACGTGTTCCAGAACGTGAAAATTGCAGTTCATTATGTAAATTCCACTCGCCATACAGCTACCAACATATTGGTCATTTAATTACAGCTGACTTCTCTATTGTTGACAATACCAACCTTCGTTAGTTATTCAAATGTGAACCAAAATATCGCGAGCATCCTCACAACTTTAAAATTAGTATGGATGCTGTCGAAGCGAAAGATTAACCCAAAGAGAAAAGGAACCTTTTGATTGTCACTCAGAGTGAGTTAAATCAGTGTGTGTTGTTGTCATTGGTAGAAGAACAAACTGAAAAAAGGGAAACAGAATTGAAATACACCAATTCTGTCCCACCCAGCTGCCATTTAAAGTCTGGCTACCCTACGTGAGTGAGTGAGTGAGTGTGGTTTTACGCCGCTTTAAGCAATATTCCAGCAATATCACGGCGGGGGACACCAGAAATGGGCTTCACACATTGTACCCATGTCGGGAATCGAACCCGTGTCTTCGGCGTGACGAGCTAACGCTTTAACCACTAGGCTACCCGACCGCCCCTGCCCTACATGAAAAGTTCGAAGTTGTTCCCACTGACAAGGCCTCATATAACAACCATTATATACTGAACAACAAAAGTTCCTGTGACATTGAATAAGATTTAATGCAAAGTTATGTTTTTAACCAAATCTGAAACAATTTCGGTTTGCAACAGATAAAAAGACTCCTGTGTTCAAATGGTTTAATTTGCCATACTGACTTCAGAAAATGCGTGATTTCATAAAAAAAACATGAACATGCCTACATGTCAATTTACAAATCTAAAGCGTGTGTGTCCACCTCTGGTTGCGATGCAAGCAACAAATCTTCGTTTCATGGAATGAACCAGGCGTCGCACATATCCTGTGGGATATCTGTCCATATCTGCTGGAGCATGTTTCGATGTTCCTGGAGTGTCTGTCGAACACGTGGTTGACGTCGAAGGTGCCGATCCATCTCATCCCACATGTGCTCTATTGATGAGAGATCAGGGGAGCGAGCCGGCCAGGGGATGACATTCACGTTGGTTTGTTGAAGAGAATCCTGAACAAGTCGAGCAATATGAGGCCGGACGTTGTCATGTTGAAAGGTAATGCCTGGGCCATGACGACGCAAAAACGGTAGATAAACAGGGCCGATGATCTCGTCGCGGTAGCGCTGTCCATTGAAATTTCCCTCTACCACTATCAAACGGGTCCTCTGTCTTGCTGTAATCCCACCCCATGCCATAACGCTGCCGCCCCCGAACCGATCTTCTTCCATGACACAATGATTGACGGAACGTTCACCTCGACGTCGGTACACTCGAATCCGTCCATCGCTGTGGCTGAGGTGAAAACGAGACTCGTCAGTGAATAGAACTTGTCCCCACTGCATGGCCGTCCAGCGTAGGCGCTGTCTGCACCACTGTAGACGTGCTTGTCGGTGGTTTCCTGTCAAAATGGGACGTCTGGCGGGTCTCTTGGCGACAATCTCTGCACATCTGAGGCGACGACGTACGGTTTGTGAAGATATTCGTCGAAGGCCAGTGATGCTTCTTGCAGTCACTGTTGCTGGCTGGAATCGATTTCGTAGGTGTGTTGTTCGAATCCATTATTGGTTACGCGTGGCCTGCCACTCCGAGGATGGTCTCTGACTGCATTCGTCTGTTGCCGACGTTGCCATAAACCCCAAATGGTGTTTCTGTGGACGTTAAATTGTCTTGCAACATCACGTTGACTCGATCCTGCTACCAATGGCTCGCAGACGCTCATTTTCGGACAGGCGTGGCATTTCGTAATGTTGCATAATTGCGTAATTTTGATGTTTTTCTCAGTGGTTGTTGTCAGCACGATGCTAAACAATGCATATAGAATCCCGTCAACGCACATGTTTTTATACCCATTCTTGGGTAGTGAAATGCATGGGACTTGCATAAAAGTCAACTTTTGCATGGAATGCATGCTTTTCTTGTAGCAGTTGCGTTTTTGTGACTTGATTCCATACATGTACTACAATATTGAAAACCAAACTTGACTTGTTTGAAAAATTACACTTAAATATTGGTGTCACAGGAACTTTTGTTGTTGAGTATATGTAAGCATCACTACTTTAATTGTTTGATAAAAAAACTTAAGTGACTTATCAAATAATGCCACTATTAACTGAGGATGAAACCTGAAAAACCAATGCATCAGTACTATCAACTTTTGACTCGACTCTAAAACCTGAAGACATGTCCATTCCTTTTTGTACTGGATTTCACAGCTTCATAATAATCCGTACAAAGGGAGATATATTACTGGGTCCAGCAAATGTACCACCCAATCGCAGTTTCAAAGATTAAACATAATCCTGAATGCAATCAAGGAAGGACTTTCTTTATATTCACAGAAAGTATTTGAGACAAGTGGGATTAATTACATGTGAATTGTAAATAAACAGCCAATGTCCTTCCCCATATTCAACCACCTGAACTAGAAATAAAAGACACCAGTGAGACCAATACATCTATTTCATATTTATATCTATGCATAAAGATTAGGAGTGACAAAAAAATCGCCACAAGACTGTATGACTAGAGGGTTGACTTCAACTTTCCAATAGTAAACATTCATCTTTCAATTTGCCTTGAGGTAGCCTAGTGGTTAAAGCGTTCGCTCGTCACGCCTAAGCCTCGGGTTCGATTGCTCACATTGGTACAAAACGTGAAGCCTATTTCTAATGTATCCTCCGTGATCACACTCACTCACTAAGCTATCCAGTAGTCAATTTTCGAGCAATATTCTAGCAGCTCCAGCCTTTTCACAACATTTGAGGTACAATCGAACGTGCCCCGTCTACCAGGATTTCAAAGAGCGTCATGCAACTCTTGCTCAGAAGTTGTTTGATCAAGGATTACAACATTCAAGGGCTCAGTATAGCTTTCAAAAGTTTTATGGTATACATGTGGAGGACATTTCCAAATTTGACGCATCTGTGACAAAAATGATGTCGGATACAATTCCCTATTTTGATTTGTACCATGTTACATTGTTTTTCAGGTGAACATTTCACTTGACTTTGCATGTGTTTGTGACGGGTGCCACCGACGGGTCAGGATACAACCAGCTTTTCACGAACACCTGGTATCATCACTGTTTGATAGTGATTCATGAACACATGCTGAGGATATAGTCGGAATCGTACAAATCGTGGCAGTATTACGCACTACTGTTCCAAAAACGTCAATTGTGAGATTTCGCATGTTACTCCTCTCTTCCTCCAAGGGGGGCACGGGTGGCCCAGTCGTCTAAGGCAACGCGATTCGCTGTGCAGAGTTGCGTCCCTTAGGCACGCCAGAAACCTATGATTGTGGGTTCGAATCCCGGTTCGCCCCGATTATGTTTCTAGGTTTGTCAGCACCATACCCGTGCTCGTGGGTTTCACAGAAGTGGTAAACGTCTGAGACCTGCATCACTTCGGGCTTTCCTCCCACATTAAGCTGACACGCCGTGGTATAACTGGAATACTGTTAAAAGCGGCGTATAACCCAACCTACTCACTCACTCTTCCTTCAAGATCGTTGGCAGTCATAACATCTACTGTCATTGAACTACCGGTTGTAATGTGTTCCCAATTCGTTCATCATTATCATATAACTATTTCAAGAAACTAAATCTCTTATAAATTTGGAAATTTACCTTCTTTTTAAAAGAGTATATCAATATTTCTCGAGTTTCACTTCTATCTTTTCTGTATCATGTATCGCCGTGACCAACTACTTGGTGGATTGAATGTGGCACTTCTTCTTCTTCTTCTTCTTCTTCTTCTTCTTCTTCTTCTTATTGTTATTATTATTAAACGTTCACAGATAATTTCAAATCACGACTGGCATAAAGGCCTCATTGTCAAAAGAATATTTATTTGTTTCACGGAAAATAACCTTTAACAGAATGAAAGAAAGGAAAAGCCTAGCATAATGGTTCAATGGTTGTGTATGTGTACTTTATTTTAGTTGAAGTACATTTACGTTTGAAACTGTGTTTGGGTTTGGAGGTTGACATCAGTATGGTGAAATCATTCCTCAGCCGAAGATGGATCCAATGTTTGAAGCGGGGCCGCCCTGGAAATCAGAAGCATCTCTTGTGTCATAGCTTATGTCATAAGACAAGGTACAACTGAAATCCTAGTTAAAGCACACAAACTCGCACAAGATCAATGTAATGTGCTGAACGTCATGATCAACGCTCAGAAAGAAATGAGCACTGATGACTTCATTGAATAAAACTTGGTCGTAATTACCATGAAGTAGGAGTTATTGCAGGCGGCGGGAACGTTGAAGACTGTATCGTTTTTGATGCCGTCGACGATGTCGTAGTAACGGGTTGAGATAAGGGAATATTCTGAAAAATTGGTTTAATTGTTACGATGTGTATCGCACATGTTTGTACCTGTACATTTCTTACATCCATGTCCCTGTACACTGCATGTTAAGTTTGGTAAATCTGGTAAAATACTACGCTTACCGCTTCCTGTTGTGTTCCGCAGCAGACATTTTAAAGATGTGACGTTGCCAGTGTACCCGCTCGCCACACCACAACGCCCCCGCAACAACTATATCCTACACCCTTCCACACGATACCCGTTTTTCATACTTCATTCACGAGTAACAGTTAGATGAAGGAATTATATGATCCTTGCCGTTAATCCAATTCCTCCCGGATTATAACTTTTGTTTCCTCTACACCGCTTTACCCATCCCGATACTAACGAGTGCCTAAATCAAAATCCAGCCGGCAAATCGACAACATATAAAGAAGAAGAGGAAGCCAAACAAGTGACCATAACCCCCCCCCCCCCCCCTAAATTCTCCAATCGTTTCCTGCTATAATTCCATTCTATCACGTGACCATAATCGGTTTCTTACTGACCTACCATAAAATTATTAGAAATAATTTATTCTATAAATTCAAACTTGTGTACATATTAACTGTGACATATTATCGTTTGTTACCACGTCCAATTAACCCGTATGTCTCCTGTCTGATTGGTTCACACGTGTCTGACGTCATGTCCACATTGACGGTGAAGCCTTTGGCAGCGTTGGCCATGCGGTAGGAGTTGTAGGTGACCTTGTTTTTAACTGAGCCCTCGAAATGTGGTCCAGACAAGGTAGCGGTGTCTGTGAACATAACAAGCCTTTCAATTGTTGAAGAATTGCCATGATATATGCGACTACGTAGGAACAGTGTGACGATTGGCTTTATCCATAGTTCTTGTGATGCCCTGCGATGATTTAAGAGTATGTGAGTGAGTATTGTTTTACGCCGCTCTTTGCAATAATCCAGAAATATCATGATCGGAACATCAGAAATGGGCTTCACACATTGTCCCATGTGAAAATAGATCCCGGGTCAACGGTGTGACGAGTGAACGCTTCAACCACTAAGCTACCCCACCACCCTTAATGTTAAGTTAATTACAATGACAGCAACTACGCATCAAATGGGTTTTTTTCAGTTTCATTGCGTGTACAAATTCATATGCTTTGTGTGACATTGTTATTTCACATGAAACTGTCCGTGTTACACGTTTCGACAGCTGACTCAAACGTTTGAAAAGAGTAAAAGAGACACAATAGTCACCTGCTGGTGGAAACGATGGACATACCTCGTCATACATTTCAGGTATCTAATAATGGCAAACCGATACAAGTCGACTGACCTGCCTACCTTAAAACATTCATTTAAGGTCATAACTCGTTATAAACATTAGTTGTATCACTAACCAGTCACCGTCATCGCAAGCCCATGCATTATGACGTCCGTGTGTTTGTAATGACGTCACTTGCTTGTCACTGAGTCTGGTCCATGGTGGTTACTGACGACCCATAGTCTGTTTTGTGGTTATATCACTGTGTAATAATTTGTGTTCATTGACGACCACCTGTTTGCCTTTGTTATATCTAGTGTGAATGACGACCATCAGTTTGCCTCATGGATAAAACCACTGTGTTACATCTGGTGTTTGCTGAGGACCAACAGTTTGCCTTGTGGATATATCACTGTGTTACATCTGGTGTTTGCTGACGACCAACAGTTTGCCTTGTGGATATATCACTGTGTTACATCTGGTGTTTGCTGACGACCAACAGTTTGCCTTGTGGATACATCACTGTATAATATCTGGTGTTTACTGGCGACCAACAGTTTGCCTTGTGGATATATGACTGTGTAATATCTGGTGTTTACTGGCGACCAACAGTTTGCCTTGTGGATATATGACGGTTTAATATCTGGTGTTTACTGGCGACCAACAGTTTGCTTTGTGATTATATCACTGTGTAATATCTGGTGTTTTTTGGCGACTAACATATGCTCTACAAATAGATCAACTTACCCGGGATACAACCATCAGGGAACGGACCGGTGAGGTGTTTACGAAGACACGTCCCACTCTGCTGGATCATGTACTCCACCATCTTCACAGTATAACATATGATATTATGGATGATATATCCACTGTATCATCTCAACACAGGCGACTGGTGCACTCCAACAGAATCTATACATTCACATACATACGCATCTATATATATTATTTAACTGTGTATGTGCTTATCAACCTTTTTGGATCACATATTACTATTTCATGTTAAGCTGTATATTAACTTATGAAAATGACTGCAGGAAAACAACGTACCTTATCCCACAGCTGGATGATCTTGAAATTGGCAGTAGACCCGTCTATTGTTAACTTTTCGTCAAAGGCCATTCTCTTGTTGGTGGCATCAAAGTGCACTTTAACTTCAGCCTGGAAGAAGACAATTTTCTCACAAAATACCAACACACATAACAGCAAAAAAAATATAGTGTTATTCATACGGGCAGTGCTTATTGATGAATTAGCATCAGAACAATGTAACTACCTCTGATATTTGTAGCGTTCCTCCTTTTTGCCCCGTGCCAATCACCCGGGCCTCCATGCCCTCCCACTGGCGAGGGGGACAGCAGATATAAGCGCCCAGAACAGCGGGAACGAGCACGACAGCAATACTGACAAACAACATGGTGACAATGACTTACTTTGGAGTTGTACGCGAGCGTGCATAGGTCGCATTTATATATACCCTACGTGTCAACCCCGAACAGTGATAAGGATTGTGAAAAATATGCACTTACAACGTTGCTAGCCAGGTCATATGTTATTATAATTGACCCCTATCGCTAGAACATGACATTGTGTCAGTTTCTATTGACAGAAAAGTTTGTCCGCCATTTCCCTGGAGCCTCATTTCTGGAGATGTTGGACCTTTCACTCTAATCCCTGATGTCCTACATCTAAACAATAATGACTTCTGACGATTGTTTCACTACATGTGTGCATTATTCCAATATTGTCATATCCCACGATAAACAGTGTGAAATCCTTGACACAGGTACGTTGGTAGCCAGGTCATTTGGTAATGTGTAGGTCTTGCAGTGTACATGTACATTAACATTAACTCACTTGATGCAAACGAGAAAAGTAACATACTAAACGGCAACGTGTAAACATAAATAGAGAGACATAACCCTTTATATATTCGGTATAAATCTCTGTACAAAGCAGAGCCAACAGTACGATTCCGACTATATCATGAGCATATGTTTATGAATCAATGTCAAAGAGTGAGTGAGTGAGTGAGTATGGTTTTACGCCGCTTTTAGCAATATTCCAGCAATATCACGGCGGGGGACACCAGAAATGGGCTTCACACATTGTACCCATTTCGGGAATCGAACCCGGGTCTTTGGCGTGACGAGCGAACGCTTTAACCACTAGGCTACCCGACCGCCCCTCACTGTCAAAGAGGGTGACACCAGTTGTTCGTGAAAAGGTGAGCGTATCCTGCCCCATCGGTGGCGCCCGTCATAAACACCTGCAAAGGCAAGTCAACTGTTCACCTACATACGGTATAGTACAAGTCACAATAGGGAATTGCATCGGACATAATTTTTGTCACCGATGCGTCAAATTTTGAGATGTCCTCCACATGCCTACCACAAAACTTTTTCAAAGCTTTACTAAGGCCTTGAATGCTGTTACCCCGATCAAACAACTTCTGAGCAGAAGTCGTTTGACGCAGTTTGAAATCTTGGTTAAAAGAGCATGTCCGATTGCATCTGAAAGGTTGTGACATGTAAACACCAAAGGATGGAGCTGCTGGAATATTGCTCAGCATGAAAGGAAAGTTGACTATTGGAAAGTTGAAGTCATCCCTCTTGTCATACAGTCTTGTGGAGAGTGTTTTGTCACTCCGAATCTTTATGCATAGATCTAAATATGAAACAGATGAGGCGGTCTCACTGGTCTCCTTTATTTCTAGTTCATGTGGGTAATCAGTGGAAGGGAATTATCTATTTGATTGTTATTGAACTATATCAGATCACTGACATAAAATCCCAATAGTCCAACATCAATTAAGTTAGCACTGGGTCAAGAAGACATGGTGCGTATCTTGTTATGTTTGCACTGTCAGGTTCACTAACTATATAAAAGGCTCAAATCTCACTTCTCCTGAAGGTGCAACCATATCTGCAGCAAGAACTGGTTGAACACCCTAAACAGATGGAGAAAACTCTCTCGTCTGTTTTCCACCTTACTGTTAAAGTATTCAATGAAAGAGTTGAAAATATCCCTTTTGCACTCATGTTCGGGCAATTTTGGGTCTTCTTTACTGCAACGTACTCAGGGTCGAATGGCACCGTTGAGGATTTTATGTCAATATCTTCTTCTGACATGACTCAGACTTGACCTTACGAAGCACTTTGTTGAGAGTGTTTCTGGCACTTCTGTAGATATCGCTAGTCGTAATTTACGCCAATAATGTTCGGCTTGACGACACAACGTTAAGCCAATATAACTCATTCATCATACCAGTCAGAACTCATTCAAATACCAACTTTCTTTTTAGAGACCTGTGAAGATCCTGGGTAGAATAGGTCTTCAGCAATCCATGCTTGCCTTAAAAGGCGACTATGCTTGTCGTAAGAGGCGACTAACGAGATCGGGTGGTCAGGCTCGCTGACTTGGTGTACGCATGCCATCGTATCCCAACTGCGTGGATCGATGCTTATGATGTCAATCACAGGATTGTCTGGTCCAGACTCGATTATTTACAAGCCGCCGTCATATAGCTGGAATATTGCTGAGTGTGGCGTTAAACAACAAACAACATGATGGTCCAGAAGATCAGTCAGTATACAGTTCTGACGGCTCAATGACATCAGTTGGTGGACCACCCAAAATGCTAGACTCCAGAAGATCCGTTCAGAAATGATCACTGTTGATTGCTTTTGTATTTCGACAAATTGCCTCAACTTTCTGTTTTCATTTGCTGTCCAACGTCCAGACCATGTTGATAAGAAAATGGTCGGATATGTGTAGTTCTTCTTCATGAACATCTGAGATGAAGGGACCGCCTCCGTGGTCTTGTGGTAGAGCGTCCGCCAGGAGAACGGAAGGTCCGGGGTTCGATTCCCCGCCGCGTCATACAAAAAGACGTTAAAATATGGTACTTGCTGTTACCCTGTCTGGCGCTCGGCATGAAGGGGCTAAAACAAGGACTGGTCGGCTCGGAGTCAGTATACTATGTATGAGCGGGGTATTCATGTTAAACATGTTAAATATGTCAAAATGAACATTAACATTAAAGTCACCAAGGAAAAGGCAATTTTTCCAACACTATTAGAGAATAATTTCAATAAATCACCTTAGAAATCAGAAATCCATAATGCAATCAAGGAAGGACTTTCTTCATATTCACAGAAAGTATTTGAGACAAGTGGAATTAATACCATGTGGGTTTTGAAAAACAAAAAGGATATTAATTTTGCTTCACCTTTTAAAATCTCAGAATGGAACCAAGTGAAATTCTGTCAGAAAATTTGATTTTTCAACTTTGTACGCCGTTATACCACATGATAAACTTAAGGAAAAACTTCATTTCTTGATCCATGGTGCTTTTTTCACCAAGCGTGGTGACCATAGATACATTTACATATCTATCGCCAGAGATTCAGGTCAATTTGTTAACAAGGGTCATCAGAAGATGACAAATCCCCCCGGCAGCGAAACATTAGAAAGAACACATCATCTGACTGTTACAGGAAGTCCAACTTGATGAGAAAATGTCTAACTAATCTCTCTTTCCGTAATCAAGAGTGGTTATTGAGCTATCAAAATAGTACTATGGTATTGGGAACTGTGTATTTCTATACCAAATACACATCTGGATGATCAGAGTGAAAGTCAAACTTTTCGCCGTGGAAACGGAACAAATCAAAACTCTAAAAACTCCTGCATAGCAAAAGGCACCAATTGACAACCTGGTCTTTGTGTGGTCAAAGTGTCATAAAAAAATACCTATTTAGAGTTTTTTGAGATATGGTCCGGACAGACACACCACTGTGAACAGAGTATAAGTCAAACTTGTTGCTATGAAAACTGAAAAAATAAAATAATTTAAAATTCCTAAATAGAAAAGGCACTAGTTGACAACCTGGTATTTGTGTGTGCAAAGTTTCATGAAAGAATACCTTTACATTTTTAGAGAAAAAAGTTCCGGAAGAAAACGATTACAGACGGACGGACGGATCGACGAACGAACGGACGGACAGACAAACAGGGGGCGGTAAAAATGAAAACAAATACCATTTGAAGTTTACTGAGAAAACAATGTGTGAAATTGATAACATCTATGTAAAATTTGTGGGTAAGACATTTTGGCAACAAGTAGGCATCCCCATGGACACCAATTGCGCTCCCCTTCTTGCTGATCTGTTTCTTAATGCATATGAATAGGAATTTCTGTTCCAATTTGCAAAATCAAAACAAGTTAATTTGGCCAAGACGTTTAACTTAAACTTCAGGTATATCGATGATCTGAGATCGTCAATAACAATCAAATAGCCACTTACCTGTCAGTGAGTGAGAGAGTGAGTTTGGTTTTACGCCGCTTTTAGCAATATTCCAGCAATATCACGGCGGGGGACACCAGAAATGGGCTTCACACATTGTACCCATGTCGGGATTCGAACCCGGGTCTTCGGCGTGACGAGCGAACGCTTTAACCACTAGGCCACCCGACCGCCCCTTACCTGTCAGTGATTTACCCACATGAACTAGAAACAAGAGAGAACAGTGAGACCGCCTCATCTGTTTTGGCGTATTGGCGAAGTTAAAACAACGTTTTGGCCAATAAGTTTAACATGAGCTTCAGGTATATCAATGATATCCAATATCTTTCCACTGATGTACTAACATGAACTAGAAATATGAGAGATCAGTGAGACATCCTCATCTATGCATAAGGATCCAGTGTGACAAAATACTCCACACTGCAGTATGACAACGGGGGATGACTTATCAACTTTCCTTTTATATCGATCAATTTTCCTGCAACAGCAGCCTTTGGTGTTTACATTGCCCAACTTTTGCGTATAAATAGTGGTAGCTCCATTCTGTCACTCAGATTACCTGACAAAAGATTGTTCACAATAAGCCCCTGCCAACAGATATGACATAACTAGAGTTTATCCCTACCACTCATATATGTGTGTTTATCAGTTGATGGTGTCCAGGATATAGAACAATCAATTGTTCCTGTTTGGAATTTATCTTTTCTGGAGCAGTTACTAAATCAATATGTGAGTCATAAATCCGATTTGGTGAAAGCATTACACGTTGTGTTTCATAATATTCAACACAGGCTGAATGGATAATTTCCCAAACTTTCATTTAATAACAAAATGAGTTATTTGGTTGGTTGGTTTGCTGTTTAACGCCGCACTCAGCAATATTCCAGCTATATGACGGCGGTCTTTAAATAATCGAGTCTGGACCAGACAATTAAGTGATTAATATCATGAGCATCGATCCACGCAATTGGGATCGATGACATGTATCAACAAAGTCAGCGAGCCTGACCACCCGATCCCGTTAGTCGCCTTTTACGACAAGCATAGTCACCTTTTACTGCAAGCATGGGTTGCTGAAGACCTATTCTACTACCCCGGAATCTTCACGGGTCCTAATGAGTTATTTACTCAGCATAGCAAGAACGTAGTAATTAAC